ACGTGTGCTCTTCCGATCTCCCCAAAACCCCAAAACCCCAAAACCCCTTGGTGGTATATTAATAATAATTTAGAAGATACTAAAATATAGGATATTAAAAATTTTCTTAGGAAAAGACTATAAAAGGATCTATTTATTGCAATAATTTATAATTAATACAATACTAACTATCAAAATGTTCAAGATCATTGCTATCTCAGCCCTCGCTGCCCTCGCTCAATGTGGAACTGTTGGAGTCGAAGCCTGGCCCGCCCTCCACCTCTTCACCACCTTCAAGACTGATGCCTCCGTTTTCACCTGGGATGGAAGCAAGCTCACCCCATTCAAGGACGTGACTGCTACTCTTAAGGTCGACGGAGACAGAAACAAGATCAAGATTGATGCTAAGGTCTCAATCCCACTTGTTGGAAAGGTCAACGCTGAGGTTCTTGCTGACCTCACTGAAGGTATGGCCTACGAGTATGTCCCCTTCCTCGGACTCTGCCAAAAGACCCCATTGAATGTCACCCTTCAACTTAAGGATGTCCTCCAAAAGGTCTACTCACCAAACGGTGGAATTACCACCTATGATGGAGAATCTACTGCCCCATGGGACAACACCAAGATGTACAAATTCCACGGACAAGGTCCCGACGCCGTCGTCTCAGCCTACTTCGATGAGACCCAAGAAAACGGAAAATGGATCCAAGAAACCCCAACTGACCCAAAGAACCCAGCTGTCGTTGTTTCAATCCCCAACGGTGAAGTTCAAGCCACCTTCACTGATGCCGACTTCGTTATCAGTGGTTGCTCAAAGTTCGAGACTGAGAAGAGAATTAACATCTGGGCTTGATCTACTTAGAAAATACACACTTCATTGATCATATATATCGTAATTATGTCTAAAAATTCACCACAATAACTAAGCATTCTCTCTAATTTTGACTTCCTTGTAAAATGTCCTTTTCTCCATTATTTGAAACAATTAAGATACGTTAATAAACTCTCTCCTTGGAGGATTTCATAATCAATTTAATCCTTGACTAGCACCTTTTCTCATTCAACTAACCCATAAACACACTCAAATTTGCATTTTCCTCCTAGATAGAGTGTTTTCCATTCATCTAGAAATCAGTGCAGTCAAGCTTATTTCAAGCCTAAAATACGATATTAAATATCTGAATGAAGATGCTTGCATATTCAAAATCCTTTTATCATCTATTCGTGGCATATCTTAATTCTACGGGGTTTTGGGGTTTTGGGGTTTTGGGGTTTTGGGG